TCTTGATAGAGCTGCTCTTTCTATATAATGAAGGTACAGTATACAAAAAAAAAACACCTCAATAGTTTCAATGTTCACACACCTACTCATTCAATCATCTGTCTGACAACATACATTATACTGTAGTTAAAATAGCTAAAATCCAATAATAAGCACAAGGCTGAACAGATATGCAATAACAAAGCCATTACTTTTTACAAGCCATCTTTATGTTTTCATAAAACATGTCGCCATCCTCTGGAAATACAAAGTTCATGTGATTTGCATTGCGTTAAAAATATTTTATGTGATTTTCCTTTTCATGAAAGGGAGAACATAAAACTTACTAAATATATAGAAAGCACACATCAACTAAGTATTGAGCATATTCAGGAATACAAATATGCAGGAGTATAAATACTTAAGATAAAAATACCCCAAGGTTGCTGGCCATACTGGGTGTGCAGTTATTACGATTTTCCCTTTTGGACTACGTGCAGATTGAAAGCTGAAGTTCCACACACAGCCAGGCATGATTGAAGCTTAATGTTGGCTGCTTTCGTGGTGCGTTGAGTCCAAATTATGCTTAGGCACCTACTTGGGAAGTGTTAAGGTTTAATTCCATGTTTCACTGTCCCTTGGATGCAAAGGCAACTGCATTAGCACAGTAGAAAGTGTGCATCAATATAGCTGACAGCCACCCTAAACCCACAATTCCTTCTAGCTTGCTGTCTGATGTGTTAGAATACATTTGCAAAAAGGCTTGTGGATAAGCTGACATCTTTCATGCTGACACAAATTATACCTAAACAGTTAGATGCTAATAAACAGGACAACTGCCCCAGCTTTCCGCATGGTTTTACTTTCTATCTTAATTTTTAAAAGAAGCAGAATATTAAGAATGACCACAATCAACTTTCACAAAAACGAATAATCCTTTCAAAATTACTTACAGGAGAAGATGGGGGTGGGTACAGAGAGAACACACACTCAGACACTGTATCAGAATAATAGTTTTCACTAACAACTTTATTTCAAGTAATACATAAGTCATGAAACTACAACAATTTGGGACTTGTCCTACAAATTTCAGTGCTTGTACTTCAGAAGTCTGAAAAAGCGAATTGCATACAAACTGCATTCATTGCCAAATCCAAAACCTATCACGGTGCCTCATTAATGTCCTGTATTATTGCTCCAATTGCTGAGTTATACACTAACAACAAATGGGCCTAAGCATTCTAAATAATGAGCAAAAACTAGGAAGGTCCACAAGTACATTTATCCCATTGCCTTTAAACAAATGAATTACCACAAATGAATTACCCTTTGTGCGACAACGACTTGTACATGCCAAGAAAAATGAATTATTTCGTAAGAGGAACAATATCAAGATTGCCTCTATCAACAGTGAGGAGGCTCAAACCCAAGGAGATGATATTCAAAACTTTGTTACTGACGTTTTTAAAAATAATCCCCTTTTTAAAACTATTATCAGTTCAATGTTATGAGGGCGTGCCAATCAGGGATACTGTTAAATATTTATTTGCTTAAATGTGTGGTAATACATTAAAATTATTAAATCATTCTAGGTACCATCTTTTGATTGAAAACAAATGTATTTCATGAAGACCGCGATTTTATATTTAAGCTAAAAAATTTGCCATTTTAAAATCAACAACATACGAAACTGCTGTGAATGAACTACCTTACAGATGGCCTTAATATTTTTATTTAACCACTTGCTGCCTTTCAGAGAGAGGTTTAGTAGAAGTACTATTACCATCTGAAGACTTTTATTTAGGTTATTCTTCTACCTCCTCCCATCTAGCAACTGGGATGCCATTATTTTTTCTTCTACATAAACCAGTATCTGACATCTATTTTTTAAATGTCAAATCAATGCAGACCATATTAACCTTAATCCCTACATACCAGCTTCCCCCCTCTCAAACACTGATTGTGCTGTTGTTGCCCAGCTTCTCTACAGATCATCATCATGCAGATGGTAAATTAGTACAATAATGAACTGGCTGTGTTGACACTATTGGTATGCAGGGGCACAGTGCCATCCCAGGCCATGACCTCTCTCCCTTCTCCTGCTTCCTGGTTTGTCAAAGCAACAACACACACAGCCTAAAGAAAATCCGACAGTTTACCATAGGAAACTTTTTCGGACCTTATCATGTTTATAATAGCAGTGTCCTTCAGACTGGTGTTTTGGTTATTCAGTAGGGTCTAGAAGTTAAGTGCTTAGAGCAAAGTCTGTCCCAAGTCACTTCTTACCTAAAACATATAGATCTGCTATGTCAGTTCCTATTACTACAATCTCCATGCAATTTTATAAACAAGCAGACACTGTCAAGGTTCCAAAGCCTAAGAGCTATGTTTTGAAGGCTCATCGTGCTATCCTTCATTCTACCCATTTATTACTTTCATGTGAGATGACAAGTTAATAAATATGCAGAAATTCTTCTGACTGGTGTGCTACCACACAATTATGCCTTTTGCCCATTTATACCACAAGTAGAGTACTGAGGCAATGCTATATGAATATACCCCATGTTCATCAACTGTGCAACACAGCATTTTTAAATTGTTCAGTGAGAGTTAATCTGCTTAAGCAGTGTGGCAAAATTCTAGAATCTGGACTGTATTACTTCAGAAACAGTGCAGTAGGGTAACCTTTTCGAATATTCCTACAAATGCTCCCTCTGTATGTACTAAATTTGCAGATCATGGAAAGAGATTTATTAGTTGTTGCCTGATGTGCCAGTTTATCACACTTAGTATTTCTTGTTTGAGTGGGGAAGCATGCAAAAATACAATAGCTTGCCTTCAGTCTGAAGCAAAAGAGTCCAGAGTTCAACCAATCTATTGTGTATAATGTCAAGCCTGACTTTAAGTAGCAGTGTGTGCTCCCCGCCATCTAAAAAAAATGGATCTACCGTGTTACATATTTAAAGGAGGCTTGCTTTCATATTGCATGTTTAGGTATCATCATCATCATCATCATCATCATCATCATCATTATTTCCCTCCTCTTTTCAAAAGCCACATGTTAAATTCCTAATCATCCATCTGTCTGGTGCAACATAGTAGATAAACAGGTTTTACAGGAAATAGTAACAATCCCCATGAAGGTATTATAGACACAGCAACAAACAAAAAGGAGTCATTTTGAAATACAGGACATTATGACATTATGTAGGCAATTGAGCAACATCCAAAACATTGGCAAGGGGAAAAAATTAAACATCAAGTAAGAAGGAATTAAGTCACAGCGTTGTGTTGAAAACTATACCTTCATCTTGTAGCACCTTTAAGAAAAGTAAAGTCAGGCACCAGAATATTCCATAATTGAAACTTAACTTACAATCAGATGTAAAGTTTATTGAAAAGGCACAGATGAAAAAAAAAGGATATTCAATCCAAGGGCATCAGATAATCTAAAACATCTCAGTATATGAATACTATTTACACACTTACAATCTATTCACTACCAAAATTCATCAGGGCGTATGTACTTCCCATAAAAGTCCTGATGTGAAGTTATGCAATACTCACTATAATACATGAAAATATCAGATCTACCCAAGTTAAGAAAATCATAGATATTTACAACATTGGTTTTTTATCTGATGTTTTCATAGCTACACACACAGGTAATCCAAATTTCTTCAAGTTGGAAGAGCAGATAATGCAGACATTGTATTTTACTAACATCAGAGCAAATAATACACAGTAATATAGCTTACTGCAATGGCAGTTTAAATATCTGCTGATATTTAAATCCGTGTAATTCTGACAGGGAACATTTCTATACAAATTCAGTATCAATGGCTTCCTTGTAATTCATCTGGTTATTTAAATAAACAGATAAAAGACTATAAATTAAGTAGAGGTTTCACTTTTATGGCCTTCTAGGTTTTTCTTTTCTGTTTTCTAATTAAAATAGTATAGGAACACAGATGGGAGGAACAACCAAAAAATATTATCAGAAGGTATTGGAAAGAGCCATTGAAGGTATCAATACTGCAGAAAAGCTAGGGGACGAAATCCTTAAGTCATTCACTATCGTTACACAACATAAAGAGCAATATTAAATATCCCAAGAACACACAAGTGATAGTGGGTTTTTTAAAAACCAACCAACCAACCAACCCGCAATTCAGACTTCTGCACACACAAATTCGCAGAAATTCAGTGTGTCTGACATGCAGCAAGTATTGGTTACAGAATGCCAAGTGTTAAGTTAGAAATAAGACTTCAGTTTTCAATTTTCTTTTTTAAAAAATCAGGTGCTTATTGTGCAAACACACACAGTGTTATGTATCCAAAAATAAAGAGGTTTATGCTCATGGGGCAAGCAGTACAAGATATATTTAGTGGCTGCATGGTCATAGAAAATTACTATCTTCCTACAAGAGAAAGAGACCAGTGGTAGTGCCTTTTGAACAACTGAGATCAAAAATCAACCAAGCTGGTTGTGTCTAGCTGGAACTGACAATTCATTCAGTTTAAAGTTGTTGATAAAAATATTCCGGGGTCTATATTACAAGAATTTACGTCCATCTTTTACACAAGACATTTCCATCACTGTAACAGATGTTGAATAATTTCATTCACTCTAAAAATGTAAGGACAAACAATTCATGTCATACAGTTCAGTATCTCCTAATATTATCAAAAGTTCAGAGCAAAGGGTTCATTTAACAACCCATACAGAATTTAAATATTGCTAGTGTTTCATGTTTACTCAGAGATGACAAAACTTTCTTCAAAAGTTTCAGTTTTTAGTGTATATGGTCAAAACTGGTACAAAGGTGGTAAACAAAGCGCACTTGTCAATGCTCGAGATCAGTTCTGTGCATATTTAAAAGTGTAGAACTGGAACAAGTTAATGCACTGAACTGCAGAAAGTATAAATTAATGCTGTACTATACTATGGAACCATCTTTGCTTTGTGCTGGAATCATCACAGGAATTGCTCCCATTCTACTTAGATTAGGTGCAGCTACCTTTGGTGGTTGAAAATTTGGATTCTGAGGAGAAGTACGCTCAAAGTCTTCACTTGGTACTTTGTTGTATTGAGTCTTGGCATATCCATCCATATTGGAAGGAGACATTGAACCCAAAGAAGAGCGATTACTCCCTATATAGCTTCGGGCTGTTGAACCACGACTCTTCGGAGGAGGAACATCCTCTCTGAAAAATTAAGCAGATTTTTAAAATTACTTAAGAGTCTTGTAGGAAGGAAAACCCAAACACTTAGAAGCATCCCTATCCGTATTGACTTGGTACCATTTATTTCAATGAAACATTGCCTCAAGCCCCCCCCCCCCCTGCCAATCCTGGCACCTGAGGCCTGTAGGGAAAGTGGTCTTTAAGGTATTTGGAGGCTTTAAGCACCATCCTGAGCACCTGAATTGGACCCAGCAATGAACTGGCAACTAGTACAGCTGTTTCAAAACAGGGGTTATATGGGATATAAACAGAAGCCTAGCCAAAAGTCTGGCTGCTGCATTTTGGACCAATCAGTTTCCAAGTTGCCTTCAAGCACAGTTCCATACAATCTGGAAGTTACCAGAGCATGGAGTACAGGAGCACAGTTATCTCTGTCCAGAAGGGACCAGAGTTGGCAAACCAGCCAGAGGTGAAAAAAGGAACTCCTAGCCACCAAATCCACTTGAGCCTGCAATGATCCAACAGCACTTCCAAGCTGTGAACCTGCCCCTTCTAGGGGAGGGCAACCCTGTCCAGGCAGGCCACCTCCCCACCTCCTGGACATGAGACCTTGGAACACACAACACCCGTCTTTTCAGGATTCAGCTTCAGTTTATTGGCCCACATCCAGCATAACCCCTCATCCAAGCACCAATCTAACACCACAACTAGACCAAAGAGACAGAGCTGGGAGTCAACTGCATACTGATGACAATTCTAATATCCTGATGACAACTCCCAGAGGTTTTGCAAAAGATGCTAAATAGCATGGGGTGGGGGGCCAAGATTGAACGCTGCAGGATCCAACAGGACAACTCCCACGGCACTGAATAGTAGCCTCTCATGATTACTTTCTGAAAATGGCCCTGGAGATAAGAGTGGAACCACTGAAACAGTGCGCCAACCTTCTGAGACACTTCAGAAGGATACTGTGGTCAACAGTACTGAAAGCTACCAGGAAATTGAAGAAAACAAGCACTCTTCCCAGTTCTCTCTCAATAAATGTAATCAACCAGGGAGACCAAGGCAGTTTCAGTGCCATGACCAAGCCTGAACTCAAGACTGGGATGGATTTAAATAATCAACTTCTCCCAAGCATGCCTGAATCTGGACCACCACCACCTTCTTGAGCACCTTGCACAGGAAGGGGGTATTTGCCACTGGGTGATAATTGTCCAGGGATATCTTCTTAAGGAGAGGGAGCACCACTGCTTCCTTCAAGGCAGAAGATAACTCTCCAATCCCCAGTGAAGATTAATCACCCTCTGGACCCACCCAGTCAACCCCTACAGCTTGTCCACTTCATCCTCAAGCTGCAACTACCTAAACTGGTCCAGTACAGATGGAGCTGCAGGCCCCTCAATTGGATTTGCTCTTATTGTGGCATCCAATGCCACTGAAATCTAAGTGATTTTGTCCCTAAAGTGCCTCGCAAAGTTGTTACAGCAGGCCTTCAATGGTGTCAAAGCAAGGCTCTCTTGGTCAGGTGACTCTGCAATGGTGTGTTGGATGGATACTTGTGAATGCAATGATGGCCAAGAAACTTTCTTTGTCGCTACCACTAAATAGCTGAAGCATGAAATACTATACTGCTTGATCCAAGGAGTGACTACACATTTATGAAACTGCCTCTTAGGGGCCAACTTTGGCACTTACACTACACAGTCTCCCCTGCATTTAAAGGACGTTTTTATAGATTAAGCAAGGTGGTGATTTTTTAGTGAAATAGTTCAAACTGGTAGCTTATGTTCTACTTTCCCCAGGGCAAGTTGTTAGGATATTTTAGTCTTATAAACCCTATATACATACTATTGCATATATTTAATATTCTTTAAATTGTTAGCATAAGTTATAAGTAACTTTGAGCTTTCAGACTGATGGCAGGGCAAGGGAAAAGTATGAAGTCAAAGAAGTACATGAGTAGATGTCAATGTTTCTGGTATTTCATGCAAGTTGGTTAAACTATATGCCTTTGTCAAAACATTTTGTAAAATTGACAATTAAATTTTTGAGCTAATGCCTAGTTTCTCATGCCAGAGTGACACACCTTATATCATGATGCACTTCTTTTTCGTATTTCTTCTCTCTTTGTTTCTTGCAGCAACAGAAGATTATAAAAGCTAGTAAACAGAGACCTAAAAGAGTCCCTATTACAGCTCCAGCAATGGTTCCAGCTCTATTCACCGCTAAAACAAAGAGAACAATGATATATGAGATGGCAGGAATTAATTCTGCAGTTTAATGATAAAGCCTTACCAAATTATTATTTCTATGTTTTTGCTTTCCAAAGATAATACTTACGAGGGGTGACATTCAGCACAAGAGAACACTCATCTGCACCAACTCTGTTGGAAGCTACACATTTGTATGTGCCAGAGGAAGCCCGAGATGCATTTTTAATCAAAAGATCACCTGTATCTGAATCTGTAAATATATATATACATATAAACTTCATTAGAATTTGTCAAAAGTAGCATTGGTAGGAATAATCAATAAAGCATTGACTTATGTTCTTACGTGTTTAACTCTTGACTGTGCATATTACTTACACAAAATAATTCAACAGTTAAGGTGCAGAAGAAGTTTGGTTTCCAAACGTATTCAGAATTAGCAAGTGGAAAGTCAGAGGCACTCACTCACCAACTCACTGCCAACTCACTCACCCCATTCCTATTAGGAATAGTCTTGGGGCTGCTGCTATAACAACCCTCCAAATCAAGATGAAGTAGCTATGAGGTCCCAAACTGATTAGCAACCAAATCTGCTACTGCTATTTAGATGTTTACTAGCTATAACTTAAACTGACTTTTCATAAGGTGTCTGGAAAAACTCCTGCCCCCACATATTTACCCACCCATTTAATCTAGGTTGATCTAGAGATTTGGGATTTTCTACCTGGAACGTGTCCAGAGGAGGGCAACCAAAATGGTCAAAGGCCTGGAAACGATGCCTTATGAGGAACGGGTAAGGGAGCTGGGCATGTTTAGCCTGGAGAAGAGGAGGTTAAGGGGTGATATGATAGCCATGTTCAAATATATAAAAGGATGTCATATAGAGGAGGGAGAAAGGTTGTTTTCTGCTGCTCCAGAGAAGCGGACACGGAGCAATGGATCCAAACTACAAGAAAGAAGATTCCACCTAAACATTAGGAAGAACTTCCTGACAGTAAGAGCTGTTTGACAGTGGAATTTGCTGCCAAGGAGTGTGGTGGAGTCTCCTTCTTTGGAGGTCTTTAAGCAGAGGCTTGACAACCATTTGTCAGGAGTGCTCTGGTGGTGTTTCCTGCTTGGCAGGGGGTTGGACTCGATGGCCCTTGTGGTCTATTCCAACTCTATGATTCTATGATATATAAGTAGATTTACTTACAGTGGTATTGATATGCAATACCTTTTGGAATTAATTGCTTAGGTTTTGATTTGTGGGTAAACTGAGGAAATAAATAAATGAATCCTTGCTGCTTTCTTTGATTTTGGCACATTTACCTTTTCTTTTAAAAGTGTTACTGTGTTCATAATTTTTTTGCTCATTATTCATTATATGACTTGCATGTGAGTTGCATAAAATTACAACAATTAGCATGTGGGGGACCATTAATTTTTTGAGGATAAAATAGCATCCTCATAAAGGTTGGAAATCACTGCAGTAAAATGCATGATAGAAATCATTTTTGTGCCCTTCCACCATCCAGATTCTGTTATTTGACTGAGTAAAGTTCGCAAACCGGGACACCACATTTTGCAGAGTTTGTAAACTGAATCGTTTGTAAACAGGACCGTTCTTAAACCGAAGTACCACTGTATAACTCTTCTTTTCAGCAAGTTCCAGAGCTCACCAGGGGGCACTGGGTTTTTTTACTACCTTCATGGCCCAAGGAAACATCTCTGGAAAATTCTTTAAAGAAACTCAGCAGAGCAGACTCAATTTTTTAAAAATCAACTCTTTAAAATTCAAAGCTCTGCTTGTAATTAGTTTGGCATTTGAAGTTAGAAGGGAACAGACACTCGTGTTCAAATATGAAAAAGACAGTAATAATATAGAAGCATACTCAGTGATGATCTGTCCGGAAGTCCTTCTTTACCCATCTTCCCCCAGTGGTAGCTTATAAGGGGAGTGCCTCCTTGGGATTTACACTTCAGAGTAACATCAGTTCCAATCTCCTGCGATCCTTCAACATAGCATTTGGTCTTTTGAGGTTTTTCTATTAAAAGAATATTATTGTACTATGAATGCAAACTTTAGAACTATGTACTCATTAAATGGTATATGTAGCCGCAACATAAACTATACATACATCACAGACATTTTACCCACATATTTTATTGTCTTTCAAATATCAGTAGTTTGCCAACAAATTGTTACTACAATTTCAAAAAGATTAAGCTACTTCTTCCATGAACAATATGAGACCAACTACAGAGCCATTTCTTAGGATATCACACCACATATTTGTCCCACCCACCAGTTTGTACTATGTCTTGCTTCAAAAAGTAACAAACCTATGGCCATATATGGCATGCAAAATGCTTTATTTCCTGGCCCAGCTAATGCAAGATAATAAGGGGGCTGATTTAAATACTGTCCATCTAACAACTCCTCTTTACAATGTTTAGAATCTGTAGCCTTTTAAACTGTGTGGGAGAGGGGGTGGTATTGTTCTGTTTGTGTTGTTATACTATAAACTGCCCTATGATCCTCAGATGAAGGGCGATATATAAATTATATGAATTGAAATAAAGACTAGCAAATCTCCAACTATTCATCCAATACTTACAGCCACTTTATAAAATCAGATAAAAAGTAATATTAATTGTATGCATGCAATAACTCACTAAAGCAGGGCAACCTGCAGCTCATGATTTCAGAAGCCCTCTGCAAACAAAGAGTTATCCATTCCCCCCTATTCCGCAGACTGCTGAAAAGGGATGAAAGCCGGGGGGGGGGCACCTACTTTTGGCCCCATTTCCACATGCTGCTGCTGCAGCCTTGCCCCCTGCCAACATGCAGCGAACATGTATCTCCATGCAAATACAGCTCTCAACAGAAAAGAGTGTCACGAGCCTGCACTATGTACAGTTTATGCAATTGCAAAACTAGAAATATCTTACCAAGTACAATCAGCTGAACTCTATGGGTCTGCATATCAGGAGCCTTCTTCACTTTACACTGGTACGTGCCACTATCGGCCGGCTGTAAGTTCAGGATATCAATACTCGCATCTCCATCAGCTGGGTTCTGATTAACAAACTGTACCCGGCCAGCCATATGATACTTGTCATAAACCGTGTCCTGACTGTACATAATTACCTGAAAGGAAAAAGAGACAGATGACTCTATCTTGTGTATGAGTTATCACAGAGTTGGAAGGGACCACTAGGGTCATCTAGTCCGACCCCCTACGATGCAGGAGTGTTTCGCCTAACATGGGGCTCAAACCTATAACCCTGAGATTAAGAGTCTCATGCTCTACAGTTATGTATGTTCTATCCAATATGATTTCTATTTTTCCCAGTAGTAAATATATACTATACTATAAATATATAGTAAACACAGGAACACCACAGGGATGCGTACTCAGTCCGCTCCTTTATATTCTCTACACGTACGATTGTGTCGCTGCTCACCCTAGTAATAGGGTTGTCAAATTTGCAGACGACACAACCGTGATTGGGCTCATCCCTGAAAGGGAGGGTGAAACGGATTATAGAGATGAGGTGGAGCGGCTGACAGAGTGGTGCAGAGCTAACAACTTGCTCATAAATACAAGGAAGACAAAGGAGCTTGTGGTGGACTTCAGGAGACAGAAGAGCAATGTCCAGCCACTTTTGATTGATGGGGTCTGTGTGGAGAGGGTAACAACGTTCAGATTTTTGGGCATTGAATTACAAGAGGATCTGTCCTGGAGTGTCAACACAAGGGGGCTTGTGAAGAAGGCGCAGCAGAGACTGTACTTTTTGAGAATTCTAAGGAAAAACCATCTTCCGCAGAAACTGCTGCTTGCCTTCGATCACTGTGCCATTGAGAGCGTGCTCACTTATGGCTTATGTGTGTGGTACGGAAGCTGTACTACCCAGGACAGGATGGGGTTGTGCAGAGTTGTTAAGGCAGCAGAGAGCCTTGTTGGCTGCCCACTCTCCACCTTAGAGCAGATTTATGCCACAAGGTGCCATAGGAAGGCACTGGACATAGTAAAAGATCCATCGCATCCTGGTCACTGTCTCTTCGAGCTCCTGCCGTCGGGACGGAGATACAGGACGATGAAGACAAGAACGAGCCGTCTTAAGAACAGCTTCTTCTCCAGAGCGATCTCGGCCCTGAATGGAAAGCCTGGACTTTGAAAGTCATCTAATCTTCCTTGCTGTACTATACTGTATTGTTTTAATTAGGGTTTTTATGGAGCAGTCAAGTAATTTCGTTGTCCCCGAGAGGGGGTAATGACAATAAAGATATTATTATTATTATTATTATTATTATTATTATTATTATTAGTCCTGGAAGGACATTAGGTTAAACATTTGAATTCTTAGTCTGATCTTTGGACTCACCTACGTTCAAAATGGAAGTGAAACATATGGAAGACCTAGGAGTTTAATAAAGCTTTTCACTTACTGGTTGCTCCTTTTTTGGCTCCAAGACAACCCATTCAATGTCAAGTAGTCCTTCATCTCCTGCTGCAAGAGTATACTGGCAGAGCAAAGTAACCTTCTCTCCTAGAGCCTTTGTTACCATCGTCTGTTCAGTTGATGTTATTGTTACGCCCTCAGTGAGATCTAGAAGCAAACCAAAATTTTAACACCTTAGAAGTTTTAAAAAGTATGAAAATATATTGTATGCACAACTTTGAAAATAGGAATAGCTTCTCTCTCTTTTAGACATCTAAATAAACCACGTGACTTGGAACCAACTATTGCAAACCTCTTGCATTTCTATGTATTGCAAGGTACAAAGGAAACACTGATTACATTAGCTGTTTGCCCTTAGGGACTAAAACATTACTCATATCTTTTGAAGAATTTTTTATGTTAAATAGATGTTGCATGCCTTTTTCATTACTCTGCTATACTTAAAGGCCAGTGCAACGCTGTGCAGGCTAAAGCAAGTAGGACTGAATTCTACAACCACGGTACCTGCGTAACGGTGATGTAACAGTATACTATCTACCTCCTTTTATCACAGCAAAAGTAGTTTCCATTTTACAATAATGGTTTATGATCTAAGAGACACGCTATAAAATCAAGGGACGAGGAAGACAAAGTTGAGTACTTTCATTGCAATAACTTCATGGAGTCATTCTCAGCATCCATAAATCTCTCTGTGTGTTATTACTGGGGGGGACGTTAGTTGGTAATGTCAAACGTTGAGACTCCCATGTGTCCACATTCAGACAATAATCTAGTATTGACATATTAGCCGAATTCACATGGTAAACCAGTTATGTGGCCATGCTGTATGCGCTGCTATTTGCACCTCAATTCCTACCCTGCTGGAAATGAAAGAAGCCACAGTCTGGCTTGTCATCATGTGCGAACACGGACTTATCAATAGTTTTTCCCCCCAAAACAAACCTAGCTTAGAAAAAAACCACAAGCTCATGTTTTCATTCATGAAAAGGCAAGATTCTGGCTTGTTTCTTTTACAGCACAGCAGGAGCAAGGGAGGAGGGAAGTGTGGACTTTGGGGCAGTGGTACATGCAGCTTCTTCACATTAAACCATCGTTTCTTTTAACTATGGCTTGATGTAACACGAGAAACAGGCCACTGTTTGATAAACAATTCACTAGAATCAGGAAACATTTACTTCATTCCTCCTATTTTTCACAAAAGTTATATAATTTTAAGTGTAGGACTATCAACATATGACTGCCATTTCTCAGTGAATTCATGTGACACTTCTCACATCGTTCTTCAAAAGAGAACACGGTAAATCTACAGCCATATCATGAAGTTCCATTTTCAGACAAAGACAGCTTAATTTTAAACAATTGTGTAGTTTAACATTTTCATAAAATCCCAAATGAGTTTTCAGATCTAATGCTTTTGGCAGCCTTTTCTGCTTCATCTCCTCCTGGAACATCAGCATAATCCTCAGTTGCATGCTATACTCAGAATAACAATAAATTTCTGACACACACATTTAGGCAAGCAAATGATTACAACATCTGCATAATGGCCAAAGAACTTTTTCAGAGATAGTTAAGTAAAGACCAAGAGAAATGTTTGTACAAATTTGGGGATCCTAAATAAGAATATACGTTCTCAACTCTCAAAAAAACAAGTAAAAAGTAGTTTTCAAAATTATTCCATATAAATGGTGAGGTGTGTTCTGTAATGCTTAAAAAAGAAACAAACTTGTTCCTATACTGTTTTTTGCTACCAATTAGATTTTTTGGCAGAATTTCTACTGTTTTTACATTAACATCCAAGTAACAAAGGATAAGGAATGCTTCAAAGTCAAGCAAGAATTGCTATACCACCATACAGTACTAGAGTTATTAAATGCCATTATCCATAACATATGCTGTGACATATAGATTTATATTTAAAACAGATTTTTGTTTGTCCAATACTGTTTTCTACAAAGGTATGACAAGATAGGAAATAAAACATAAACACAGATATATTGCCAGAAATATCTGGGATAAAAGCCCTTTTAGATATATATAGAAATCTTACTACCCTCCCCTCAAATTTATCCAACATTCCAACATGCAATTCTTCCATAATATTTTGGTGGTACCGTGGTGCTCTTCTCATTCTCTCAGGACAGCTCACATGAACTTTCACATGTATGGAAGTGTGGGTTTTCTGTAGACAGAATGTGCTACTTGGACATGAAATGTAATCTTGCAGTTCTAAAGCTCCCTCCTGCAATGTTAGAGCTGAACAGGATGCACATCTTTAAAAGATGCAAGCCCAAACACCAAATCCATTTTCTTGGTTTTGTGCCAGAGCTGTGGTGCCACTCGTGCTTATAATGCAACGATCAATACGCCCGTGCTGCAGAGGCACTAGGGTCACAATGAAGAATTCACCAGGCTCTGTTTTCAGTCTACATGATTTACAGAAGTGTCATATGAACACCAGTGTAGGGCAATTTTCAAGGTAAGTGATGCATTAACTTTACCTATAGACTTCATCTTCCTAGTGTTGCAGCAATAGAACTGCTGGCACAATTGCAAAGCTCAGCAGGGTCCTGTATGTTTTCAACTTGGATGGAGAACCACATGTTAAGATTCCTGCACTGCAGGGGGTTGGACTACATGACTCTCAGGGTCCCTTCTAACTCTATAATTCTAATAGCTATATAGGAAACAGCCTTCACCAACCTAGTGACCTCCAGAAGTTTTGGACTACAACTCTCACTACCCCAGTCAGAGCAGTTATGTTGGCTGGGGCTGATGGGATTGCAGTCCAAAACAATTGGAGGGCACTACACTGGGTTAGATATACAAGCAGACCAGGTAGACATGAAAAAGCTTACCACCACAAACATGAGCTTTCACACTAGTTTCCTTCATGTAAAATTAGGGTACTACTTAATTACTAAAAAGTAAAATATTCAGAGAACCACATTCTAATACAGCAACGGCTAATTTGCGTGGAGGTTGCATTCCAGGCCAACGCATGCAATGGCAGAGTACACATAAGCCCACCCCACCCCCTTTTCCAGTTCGCCGTGATGTACACATGCACAGACGTGCATCAGACAGTTGTTGC